TATATATATATATATGTGTGTGTGTGTGTGTGTGTGTTGCCTGAATATACAGAACTGTACCCATGCATGCAATGCCCACTGAAGCCAGAAGAGGGCGTCAGATCTGGAACTGGAGCTATAGATGGTTGTTAGCCTCTGTGTGGGTGCTGGGAACTGAACCTGGGTCCTCTATAAGAGCAGCCAATGTTTTAACTGCTAAGCCATCTCCCAGCCCCTATCCAAAGGAAAAAAAAATTTTTTTGGTCTTTTTGAGACAGGGTCTCCCTGTAGCCCCAGCTGTCCTGGAATTCACTATGTAGACCAGCTGGCCTTGAACTCACAGAGATCTACCTGCCTCTGCCTCCCGAGTGCTGAGATTAAAGGCATGTGCCACCACGCCTGGCTCCAAAGAAATTTTTAAAAGAAAATAGCTGAGTGTAGTGGCACACACCTGTGGTCACAGGTGTTGGACGACTGAAGCAGGAGGATCATGAGTTCAAAACCAGCCTAAGCTACCTAGTGAGACCTTATCTCAAAAAGGAGGAAAAAAAAAAAACCAGCATAATTCTAGAGAGGTTGAGTATCAGGAGCCAACTTAAATATAAGTCTTGTTCCCAAAGTTCTTAGGTTAATTGTTTGATCTCAAAAGCACATGGTCCAAAACAAAAAAACTAAATATGGTGCCGCCTAAAATAAAGCTATAATTCATTTTTTTTGGTTCCCAGGCTAGTTGTTGAAACTCTCTAATCCCCAGTACAGTAATGCTGTACTCTTGCAATAAAAATAACAACATACCAGTTTAGGCATGTATAATTAGGCAAAGTTTTAAAAAATCCTTTAGGGGAGAAAATGTTTCTTTACTTGAATCTTGGCACATGAGGAAAATCGGCTTTCAGTAGGAGAAGTGGAGGGAGCCTATGGTTGTTCTGAAGGATTGATCTTGCTGACACTGATGTGTCTGACATAGGTGCACCTGGGCAGATGGGCCTGGGCACCCAGGAGCCCCAGGCCACTGCCCTCAACTAAGAATGGCCCTGTCTACCTCAATGTGCCAACAGAATTTTTTTCTAGGTGTGCTATGAACGAAAAAAAAAAAAGACAGGAAAGCAATGCTGAAGGGGACCAGGAGCCCATGTCCCGTCGCTTCTGAACATCACTACTCTGTTGATTCCTTCATGGGTGAGCCTGGAGAGGGTCTTGTCAGCACTAAGTCAGATACTGATTTAGACAGTTGGGAGAGTTGCACAGGCGAGTCAGATAGCACCCTCTGCAGGCCATGCTGTGAAGGCTGAACTGGGAGGAAACTAGAGGCCAAAAGGAGACAGTGAAAGTGGCTGCTGGAGGGTTCTGTGGGTGGTCAGGTAGACAGCCAAGCAAACACCAAATTCCAGCTCTGACACATTGTTCCATGAATGTTCAGAATCATGTCCCATTACAAGATATTAAAAGTGACTCCATGAGGGCTGGAGGGATGGTACAGCTGACTCAGGTTCACAACCAAAAGTATCTCCATGAGATGCTCCATGGGAACAGTGACTGTAGCTAATGGGAGCTATGCTGAGAGGCCTCAGCTGTGAGGGGAAAGAAGGCAGCCTGCATTTAGCCTCCACTTATCCCAGGTTCATCTCAGGCTGGTGGTGTAATCCCATTTACAAGATGAGGAAACCGAGGCTCAAGTGTCTTTCTTGTTCCCTTCTCACTTCCGGCCTGGGTGTGCTTCTGGGTTCTCTCCTTTCCACCTCCCAACCCATTTGCCACAGTGTTCATTAACTCAGGGACAAATATTTGTTGCGTGCCTCTCAGTGTCAGGAACTGGGGATGTACAGCCATGAACAATGTGGTCAGAAACATCATAGAGGACAGAGGACAAAAACCATAATTAGGGCAGGGGATGAAGCTTGGTTTGTAGAGTGCCTTCCTAGCATGCACAAAGCCCGGGGGGTTCAGTGCCCAGCACCACATAAAACCAGGCACAGTGGTGCACATTTATAATCCCAACACTTAGGAGGTGGAAACAATAGGATCATAAGTTCAAGGTCATCCTCAGCTACAAATCGAGTTCAAGGCCAGTCTGACTACATGAGATCCTATCTCAAACAAAGCAAACAAACCACCAATAGCAAAATATACAAAATGATGGAACGTGTATGCCATCAAGGAAAACAGCAGAGAAGTGCAAGGCATGCTGGGATGAGGTGAAAGCTGCATTTTCATCCATGTAGTCAGAGAAGGCCCAAAAGTTCTGTTTTGCACTAAGCTCTACATATCACTTGACAAACCAGTGATATGTAGAGCTTAGTGCAAAACCGTACTTTGTTCATATGTGTTAAATATCAAGATGAGGGCTGGAGAGATACCTCAGTGGTTATGAGCACTGGCTGCTCTCACATAGGAACTCGGTTCAATTCCCACATGGTGGCTAACATCTGTAACTCCACATGGTGGCCATCTGTAACTCCAGTTCCGGGGGAATCCAACACCCTCTTCTGACCTCCGCTGGCATTGCATGACATTGGTACACTTAGACACATACAGGCAATACACTCATACACACAAAAATAAAAAATAATTTTTTTTTTTTGGTCTTTTTGAGAGAGGGTCTCCCTGGAGCCCCAGCTATCCTGGAGTCACCATGGAGACCATGCTGGCCTTGAACTCACAGAGATCCGCCTGCCTCTGCCTCCTGAGTGCTGGGATAAAAGGTGTGCGCCACCACGCCCGCCTAATAAAATGTTTTTTAAAAATAGCAAGATGGCTCAGCAGTTGAGAGCACTGACTGCTCTTGTAGAGGACCCGGATTCAATTCTCAGCACCCACATGGCAGCTACAAACCGTCTTTAACTCCTCAGGGGAATCCGACGCCCTCTTCTGACCTCTGTGGCATTGCACAACAGAGGTGCACTCACAAACGTGCAAACAATATACTCATATACACAAAAATAAAAAATTTTTAAAAATCAAGATGAATGCCAGCACTTGGGAGACAGAGGCAGGCGGATCTCTGTGAGTTCAAAGCCAGCCTGGTCTACATAATGAGTTCCAGAACAGCTGGGACTACAGGGAGACCCTGTCTCAAAAAGACAAAAAAGAAAAAAAAATCAAGATGAGGGCTGGGTTTGGTAGCACAGGCTTTTAATCCCAGCACTTGGGAGGCAGAGGTAGGCATAGCTCTGTGAGATCAAGGCCAGCCTGGTCTACATATCAAGTTCCAGGCCAGCTGGGGCTACAGGGAGACACCTTGTCTTAAAGAGAAGATGGCATAGGGCCCTGTGTGCATGTGGGGCATGTGGGTCTCTGGGAATAGGGCATTTCATTCAGAGACAATAGGATGTGCAAAGCCCCTGGGGTGGGGGAATACTAACATGTTGAAGGAAAAACAGAGCTAGGGCAGCTGGAATAGTGAGCTAGGAGACTGGGGAATAGGAGAGATCAGAGAAACAGCGGGGCCTGGGGCAATGGATCCCATAGGACCTGTAGACATTGAAAAGGCTTTGGCTTTTCCCTGGTAAGACATGAGATTCACTATAAAGCTTGGAGTCATGCTATTGTCTCTGAATGAAATTCCCTATTCCCAGAGACCCACATGCCCTCAGAGTGCTCTTACAGAACCCTGCAGAAGTCTCCTGTTGCCCTCAGGAGGAACTGAAATTCTTTAGCCCTGGTTTTACAACTTCTTACAATCTAGCCCCTTCCTATCCCTCTCCCTTCCATCTTCCCTTCCTGCTACATTCCAGCCTTCCCGAGCTAACAGGCTGGTCATGCTAGCTCCCACCCCTGCCCTGTTGTAGGCCTGCCTTTCCCAAGTCCTCATACCATAGCTACAGCCTCACCTCTTCAGGGAAGCCTTTCACCCTGGCTGTCCCCATAGGATGAAAGGATGTCCTTTCACAGGCTGTCCCTGCTACATCTCATCCTCTCTGGCATCCTTCCCACCCATCCTGCTTGCTGTCCTCCATCCTCTTCCCTGAGGGTTAGGAAGATGCCTCCTGTAGGTCTGAGTACCTAGCACCAAACCCAGGTCCTGATACTTGTGTTTGGTTGACTGAAAGTGTACAGCCTGTCTAGCATAGAACACCAGATGGAGCCACAAACACAAGTTGGGGTGCCATCATCAACATAGCCTTCTGCTTTCCCCTCAACTCCCTGGAGATAGAGCAAATTAGTGTGCTCTCAGAGGGCTTCCTGGAAGAGGTGCTTCTGATAGGATGAGTGGGCATTTCAGAACATGAAATGTACAGGAAGGGGCCTGGGTGGGCTCAAGCAGGGACTGGGAGCCATCTTGCCACAGGAGAGGAGACTAGCCCAGGCCTCTCATGATGTCCAGGAGCCCTTGAGGGTTTTAAGAGGTGCTGCAGGGCAGTGGCCTTGTGTCAGGTTCCCAGGATCTGCAGAGGGGCTAGGGTCCCCAGAGAGGCTCCCATCTCACAGGAACGGACTGCTGGGACCTTATGACATGGAGTTCTGGGCCTTGGAAATTGGGTGCTGGGCAGCAGAGACTGGCCCTCAGTGACAGTCATTTCCCCTTCCCCAGGCTGTATGTGCTGAAGCTGTCAGATGACATTGGGAACTTTGGGGAGGTACGGTTGCCCCTCCTGGGCTGCCTTGGCGTCTCCTGGGTGGTCGTCTTCCTCTGCCTCATCCGAGGAGTCAAGTCTTCAGGCAAAGCAAGTACTTTCCCCAGGCAGGGTCTGTTCCCACCCTGCCTCCCCTACCTGGGTTGCTTGGAATCTAGGGGAGGGATGAAGAGCCACAGAAGAAAAGGGACCAGAGCCAGTGGTGGCTGGGGTCAGGGAGGTAGTTCTAGGGTTGGAAAAGGCCTAGAGGAGTCCATGGAGCCTGTCTTGTCCCAGGTGGTGTACTTCACTGCCACGTTCCCCTATGTGGTGCTGACCATCCTGTTTGTTCGCGGAGTAACCCTGGAAGGAGCCTTCACGGGTATCATGTACTACCTGACCCCACAATGGGACAAGATCCTGGAGGCTAAGGTGGGATGTGGAGGCTGACCTAGGAGGAACGGGGAAAGGGCCAGGTGGGCCTGCCTCTGCCTACAGGCCCTCACTGGCCACCCTCCCTACAGGTGTGGGGGGACGCTGCCTCACAGATTTTCTACTCCCTGGGCTGTGCGTGGGGCGGCCTCATCACCATGGCATCCTACAACAAGTTCCACAACAACTGCTACCGGTGAGAAGCCCCTACTGGTTCCATTCTCTCTGCCCTCTCCAGAGCCTGTGCCTGGGTCCACAGGCCCATTGGATTCTGGTGCAGCTTGCTGCCTACCAGCGACTTCCTGCTGCATAAGACCTTGAGGTCTTGAGAAGTGAGCCTTGAGAATGGAGAAAGAAGCCTTGGCCAGAGAGGAGGGATGGGTCTGTAAAGGCTCAGGAGCCCTTAACTCTTTATAAGAACCACAGCAGATAGGAAAAGGAGTTAGGGGCACTTTGTTTCTAGAACTTTCCCTGTCTCCATGTCTTCTCTTGGCTGAAATCAGGAAGAGGGAAGCAAGCTAGGTCTCCTAAACTGTCCCTGTTTTCCTTCCTCTCAGGGACAGTGTCATCATCAGCATCACCAACTGTGCCACCAGTGTCTATGCTGGCTTCGTCATCTTCTCCATCCTCGGCTTCATGGCCAATCACCTGGGTGTGGATGTGTCCCGAGTAGCAGACCATGGTCCTGGCCTGGCCTTTGTGGCTTACCCTGAGGCCCTCACGCTGCTGCCCATCTCCCCGCTCTGGTCCCTGCTCTTCTTCTTCATGCTTATCTTGCTGGGGCTGGGCACTCAGGTCTGACATATAGGTGGGACTGGTAGCCTGGGCAGGAGGAACCAGGGTAGAGATCGGGCCCAGTTCTGATAGCTGTGCCCTCTAGTTCTGTCTCCTAGAGACCCTGGTCACTGCCATAGTGGATGAGGTGGGAAATGAGTGGATCCTGCAGAAAAAGACCTACGTGACCTTGGGTGTGGCTGTGGCCGGCTTCTTACTCGGCATCCCCCTCACCAGCCAGGTAAGACTAGAGAAGAGCAGGGTGAGGCTGGGCTGTACTTGCCAGGGTACGCGGGGAATGGGCAGGGGGAAGCCTGGACTGTGGACCCCCCCAGCTCAGCTGTCACTGGCCCACAGGCAGGCATCTACTGGCTGCTGCTGATGGACAACTATGCAGCCAGCTTCTCATTGGTCGTCATCTCCTGCATCATGTGCGTGTCCATCATGTACATCTATGGTAAGCGCCCACCCTTCTGTGTCCTTAAGTATCCCAGTCCCTGAGGTCCACTGTGTCTGGCCAGGCTGCTGACCTCCCTCTCTCCAGGGCACAGGAACTACTTCCAGGACATCCAGATGATGCTGGGGTTCCCACCACCCCTCTTCTTCCAGATCTGCTGGCGCTTTGTCTCTCCAGCTATCATCTTCGTAAGTTCCTCAGGCACCTTCCCCGTCCTGCTGACCCTCAGCCAAGTGTCCTCTTTGGAACCAGTAGAGAGAGAGCAGGAGCGCATCCACCCAGCCAGAGCTTTGTGCCCCAGCTCTGGCTTCAGGCATCAGAGAGGGCTGGATGGCCAGGTGTGTGCAGTTAGAGGCACCAGGCCTAGCCTTGGGTTAGGTAGGGGGTGTTGAGCCCTTTACTTTACAGAAGCTAATACTTGGGCTCAGAGCTCAGTGACTCCAGGGAGCCAGCCTCACTCCCTTCCAAGGGCCATCCTCAGGAGTCATTGATATCAGGGTGGCCTCTGTCTCCCTTACTGTTTTCATCACAGATGCTCACTCATAGAAGCTCCCAAGCAGGATTGGGAATGTGGAAGGATTGGGTATACATGGCAGGATTGGGAATGTGGGAGAGCAGCCCATGGCTATTGAGTCAGCTCTTCAGGGGGGACAGCTTCCTAAGCCTCCCAGGCAGGGAAGTGTGCTGGATTCAGGGTAGCCTCCTTATTTCCATGAACATTCAACTGCAAGAAACTCACCAGAGAGCTGAACAAGGGCCTTCCTTTACCTGTTCACGTTACACCTCTCCAGGTTATTGTTATCCGCACTCTACAGATAAACTAAGGCATAGGGGTGTTAAATATGCCCAGTGTTCACTGTGATACAGAGCAGGTGGCGCAATTTGGGCTAGTAAGACACAGAAGCCATGCTATAGAAGAAGCCATGCTATAGGAAGGGGGAATGGCCTGTGGGCTAAAACCTGGCTCATTTGCCGCTTCTGTTTGAGGTGGCAAGGGGCAGAGGTCGATAGAATAGTAGTCACTATACAGAGAAGAGGGGGGGTCCACAGTCCAGCTATGACCCACTGGCAAGGTGGTATCCAGAGTCACCTGTGTTCTGCTCAGTTCCTCAGGACTATAGAGAGCTCTGTACTAGACTTCCACACTGGCTCATCTTTCTGAAAAAAAGGCCCCTGGAGAGCTGAGGCCTCCACCACATGGGGTGTGGGATGTTCCCAAGCCTGGCACAGGCAACAGCTCTGGCCACTGGCCCAGCTTTGAAACAGGAAGCATGGAAGTTTCCTGTTAAGGCTGAGAGGCTAGTGAGCACAGGTGCCACTGCCCAGTACCATGCCCTCTGGGGGTGTGGCATTGGCACAGGCCCAAGATACTCTTCCTGAGTGCTGGGAGGCTATACTCCATTGTCACCTGGGGAGCCTTAGGGGACCCCACCAAAGGGAGGAGGAGAAAGGGCCTATTTGGTATCCTCAGCCTGGGTTTGTATCTTCTGGAGACTAAGAAAAATAGGCAGTACCCTCTCTGTGCCCAGGAAGCTAGGCTGGAGGTACCCTAAGGTTGGGAATCCAAGCGTTGTAGACATAACTATGTTCTCTACAGGGCTTTATGTTCCTTTAAAGGTATTTTTGGCAAACCCTATCTTTCTGTCAGTCTAATGATGGGATTCATCCTCACATACATCAGGCTCTACTAGGTCAGGAAATTCAGCATATACTCCCGCTGTGAGCAGAGAGGGGTATCTTAGTTTGGATGTAGAAAGATCAGAGGAACCTGAGCTTCAGGGTGCCCCTAAAGGCTCCCAAGGGGGTGCTGATTCCTGGGGCCAAGCTGAGGCATCACCTTTCCCAGGACCCTCTGGGAGGCCCCCAGTCACCCAACCAAGTCACTGCCTCCTTGAGTTGCTCATGCTGCAGCCACAGGCTCTACCTCTGCTTCATCAGTCTCTTTCTACAGAGGCTCCTTAGTGTGTCTATTGCGTGACAGCATTTATACCTTTGGGCCCTCCCCAGGCTGAATGTCACTTGTCACCACAGCCATAGTGAGACAGGGCTGTACCTGACCTGCTCCCCGACACCCCTACTTCTCCTGGCATAGATCAGTTCAGATAGACAAATGAGATTGTGCTAAGCACTGTGCAAACTACCTAAGACCTTGAGTTAATGCAATCCTAGGAGCTCATGGGTCTATGGAAAACAGGAAGCAGCGGCTCTGAGGAAAGCAGGTGGAAAGTACCATGGAGGGGCCCTTTAGGAGACAGGAAATCTGAAAAGGCTTCCTGAAAGAGGCGGCATTGGCTCAGGACTTGACAGGAAGATCCAGAGGATGACTGCAGAATGAATGGAGAGGGTGGAAAGAAATGCTAGGTGTGATGGACACCTGAGGGATGATGTGGCCAGTTAGCCTAACAGGTCACCTAGCAAGAGGAAGGTCTCTAGGCCAGAAACTTGGCCTTACCTCAGAAGGTAGTGCAGAGCCATGTTGAGTCTTGTTTTCAGGCCAGTTCAGGACTCTTGGCACAGACACACCTCTTCCCCTCTAGGTACTACCTGCCCACCACTCCCTGGGGCGCAGATTCTATCGGCTTGTTCCACTGCCCAGGTGTTGACAGTTGCCCATACCCTGACCAAAATGCCTTTTGCTAGCTTGGGAGCCTGAAGAGATGAAGGGGAGCTGCTAGGAGGGAAAGCCTGGGGTCTAAGAGGGGATCTGGCCAGTCTCACGCCACCCCATCTGCACCCCTGCAGTTCATTCTCATCTTCACGGTGATCCAGTACCGGCCAATCACCTACAACCACTACCAATACCCAGGCTGGGCTGTGGCCATCGGCTTCCTCATGGCCTTGTCCTCTGTCATCTGCATCCCTCTATATGCACTGTTCCAGCTCTGCCGCACAGATGGGGACACCCTTCTTCAGGTGAGGAGTGAAGACAGACTGGAGGCCAAGTGGAGCAGGAAGGGTGTGGGTGGATAGAGCTCTCTTCTGACTCATCTTTCTCACTGCGCCCCCTGCCTGCAGCGTTTGAAAAATGCCACAAAGCCAAGCAGAGACTGGGGCCCTGCCCTCCTGGAGCACCGAACTGGGCGCTATGCCCCCACCATAGCCCCATCTCCTGAAGACGGGTTTGAGGTCCAGCCACTGCACCCAGACAAGGCCCAAATCCCCAGCGTGGGCAGTAATGGCTCCAACCACCTCCAGGACTCCCGGATATGAGTACAGTTGCCAGGGGAGAGGCCCCACCCCACCACTGCTCCCACCACAGAGACTGGGGAGGCAGTGGACAGGTGTCACTGCCTGCTCCCTGTCATGCCCTGGCCAGGATGACTACCGTCACCTTGGCCACCACTGCTAGTGCAGTCATTTGTGGTCGTGTCCCCAGTGTTTACACGTCCTTTGGATGCCAAGACAGCAGCTGGGAGTGGGGAGCCAACAGAAGGATGGCTGGGGGCCCAAAGCACTTTGGAGGGGTCTCAGGCCAGGTCCCCGGAGGCCTTTCCAGGCTTCGAGTGGCCTCTGATACCCTCATTCTCTGCCCTGAGCTGTCTCCTAGGGGATAAGCGGTTCTGGGCACACCCCCAACTTGTTCCCCTCCTTAAGCCTCCAGCCTCATGACCAGTGTTCCTGACCCCAGAACAAATCCCAGCCTCTGCCCAGGCAAACTTGTATCCTCCTACTTGGGGCAAGGTGAGGGACTATGGGGCTGCACAGAGTTACTGTCAGACTGTACCGCCTGGCCCTGTTTATCTGTGTAATTATTTTTGTAAAAATTGTATTATCTGTGGTTGCCGCCCCCCGCCCCAGCCTTGGGTCCAATCTGTCTTCCAGGCCTGCTTGCACCTCACTTGGCTGCTCCAGGGTCTCTGCCCTTCCCAGCCCTGGCTGTCAGGCCCAGCCAGAAGAGGTCATGACCTAGCAGCCTGCCCAAAGCACTTGTTTCTGGAGGGAGGGAGAGGGGACTGCTCAGTAGGAAGTTAGAGCCCAGAGCCCTGGGGAAGGGGACCTTGGACGACACCCCCTTGCCTACCCTCCACCAGGCTGAAGGCTCAGTCTTCCCAGATGTGCTCCCCCAGTCCATGCGCCCATCCCCTCTCTGCAGCCAGAATTCCTTCTCCCAAGCCCTGCAGTGTCTGTTTGTCCATCCTCAGTGTCCTCTGCAGTGACAGCCCTGGCCAAGCCACCTCTAACCCTCTGTAGCAATAACGGTGTGCCACCCGCCGCTGCCCATCGCGCACCACTAGGTTTTTAAAGTCCATAGTTTTAATGAAATTTCTATTCCTGTCTGAGCTGCGGCTGTGCTTTGTCTGGGTCCCTAGGGGACAAAAGTCAGGCTGGGATGGGACCTCCTGTCAGCCAAGCCTTTGGGGAGGTCTGAGTAGGGGAAAAGAGGCCAAAGGCTTTGAGGGTTAGGACAGGAATCTGGACACTCAGTCCTAGATATCAGTGACCTGGCAAAGGGTGGAGCTAAGAACCAGACCAATACACAGCCTTGGGAGACTGAGAGCTCACGTAAGACAAGCAGAAACTGGCAGGGCCATAGCAGCTGGAGGCAGCAGTAGATGGGGTGAGTTCCAGCAGAAGCCTGTTTTTGTGGCCAGCCCTTCAGGTTAGGGCCTGGGACGCTACACTGGACACTGAAACTGGCTTGTCCCAATGGCTGTACCGAAGTTGCCGTCCCCAGCGGTGGGTGGTGGCCTGACCCCTCGGGTGGGGGCAGCGCTCCAAAGGAGGTGCAGGCAAGTAGCCACTGAAGCAAGGAAAGGAGGGCCTGAGGCCCTGAACAGAAGACCCCAAGGGCTGCTGCCTGTATAAGATGGGTAACTGTGAGGGGACCAATATCTAACCCTTCAACCCACCCAGCCCACCTCATACTTTGGTATACCTGTGCTTAGGAGAGACACAGGATGGCCCTAGAGAGACCTGTAGCTCCCGTTCCATGGCCTTCTTCTGTTCCTTTAACTCTGATGGAAGGTAGAGCTGAGACAGTGCAGGTCTCCTCTAGAGTGTGTACAGTGTGGAGTACAGGCAGGGGGCTGGGTACTCAGGCTTGATCAGGGTCCTTACCTGCCAGAGTGGGCTCTAGGGTTGCCTTGGAGGGCTGGCAAGCCTTCATCTGCTCCACTTCCAGGCAGTGCTGTGGAGGGAGTTGGTTCAGTGGCCCTGCCTGAAGGCAGAGGTCAAGAACCCTAGTGTAAGGCCCAGGAATAAGACCATGCAGCTTCTCAGCCTGACCAGAGCACACTGTGGAAAAACTCGGTAGTTGGGTATGTACCCAGACTTATGTGAAGAGAGAAGGCAAAAGACCCAGGGCTGTCTGTTGACCCTGGACACATGAAAAATGGATGCAGGACTTATGCAATCTTGATATGGTCATAGGTACAGAGATACGCAGAACTGGTCTCTGCTAAGCAGAGAACCTGGGGCGGGGCGGGGGCCCAGACCTATGCTCACCTGCAGCTTAGAGATCTCCCTCTTCAGCATGTGACACTCCTCCTCCAGAAGGCTCCTAGAAAGGAGCATGAGCCACCAGAACTAGTGAGGCAGGATTGAGTCAGGCTGAGCCCATAATATATAGCCCCAATGCAGAACCACCAGGAGCCTCGCCAGCCCCTCCATTCTCAGCCTACCTTGCCTTCTGGGTGATATCTGGGCATAGACTTCCAGCAACCCCCCATTTCTAGTCACTTCATGGCTCCCACCCCAGTGGGCATTATCCTCTTCTGCACTCTGGCACTGGGCCTGTGGCTCAACCTGCCTCCATTCTCCCCCACATAACAGACTTCTGCCTGCTTCTAACCAACCTGGCACATTACCCCTTCCCTCTCAATCAGTCCCTGCCCCTCTAGATCCACCTGTGTCCTCTCCTGTCCCCCACCTACACACTCTGATGCCCCTAGTCCTTACCTCAAGTGTCCGGCAACCTGGTCAATGTTAGACACATTCAGTTGGTCCTTGATGTTGCTTAGGTCCCTGTGATAGCTGCTGGCAGGTAAAGTCACCCTCCCTGTGTTGCTCACCCCAGACCTTCAGAGAACAAATGTTACTACTAGATATTTTTTTTCCCTCACACAGGCAACATAATAGAGTACAGACAATAGTTCTGGAGCCTAGCCTTGCACATGGGCTCCGTTGCCTTCAGTGTGACCTCAGGCCAGCTGTTTATCATTGCTGAGGCTTTAGTTTCCTCATCTGAAAAACAGAGATGATGCCCACCCTATAGAAACTGCTGCCCTCTGTTTCTTATGTGACCCCATTCATTGTCTCATTCAGTCCCCAGCTGGAATTATTCTTTCTTGCCCTCTCACCTCAGCTCCTGTACCTCTAGCCTAGCCCACGCTCCTGTTCTCCAGGCCTGAGAACTAGTCACTAGACACAGCCTCCTGTCTTCTCTGCCTGTAAAACTCCTTTTGCTATCTGTCCAGAAAGTTATTCCTTATACTCTTAAGACCCAGATCAAAGCAGTTACTCTCCCCACAGAGCCTTGCCTGCCTTGGGGCTAAGGTAGGTGTCACCTCAGCCTTCAGCCCTACCACAAGTGGCTGTAATAGTACTCACCCCAGATTGAGAGTTCCTCCACAGAGCTAGGTGGGACCCACCAATTGGCTAGGACCCTCTGCCAGGTCGGGGCAGATGCTCTCTCCCTACCATCACTTTACCTGGGCTCTCCAGCTCTCATCTGGAAGAGTTTCTGTTGTGGTGATTTGCAACTGGGCTCCTCTAAGGCAAAGTGAAGGACTCTGGGACTATATTGAGCCCATGCCTGGGCCTGGTCCCTGAAAAGGTGTACAGGAAAGGGCCTGAGGGGCTCCTTCAGGAAACCACAGGAAAGACCACCCTGGCTCTTTATCAGGGCCAAGGCTAGCCCCTCTGATGCCTGGGCAAGGGGTCTAGGTCTGAGACTCCCACCTGCCCTCACAGATGGCCTTAAGGCGAAGGCCTTGAAGTAGCTGCCGGAGTTCTTGGCGCATGAGGTTCTTCAGGAGGGGAGATGGTGCCAGAAGAGAGGGAGGGTCAGAGATGGGATGGGACTCTGAAGCTTGAGAGGATTGAGCCTCTAGGAGCAGTGCCTGTAGTATCACCACCTGCAAGGAGAGCTGGGACACCTTGCCACTGGGCAGGGGATGGGAGGATGTGGGAATGGGGGTGGTCAGAGATGAGGGGACTCAAACAGGAGAGGGCGGATGGTGAGGACCAACAAGATTCTGGGGGTCACCGAGTAGGGCTAGGGACCTGATGGTGGTAGGAAGTGACGCGAGTAGGGGGCAGGCCTGGTGTGCGACCCCCACCTCTTTTCTTAACTCCAGGCTCAGGTCCACCGCTGCCTCCCCCAGAATCCTCTTCACTTCAGGTCGCTCCGGGCGTGGTACGTGCTCCTCCACCAACTCCCACAGTGACAGGGAGTCCCGGGGCATGGCCTGCCGTCGCCGCTGCCTCCTGACCAGACCTACAGGACCCACCGCAAGTCAGCTGGGATTTCCTGGGAGACGGCTGGTTGCCCCGGGACCGGGGCCACGCCCACCGAGCTCCACCCGCTCCAACATCAAGGCCCCGCCTCCGGTCCACGTTGGGTGCTCTGCTGCTAGCAGACTCTCGGGGTCGAGATCCTGGCGGCTTCGGAAAGCCAAGCAGTGGGAAACCGGGCCTAGTCCCGCCCCTCTCCGAGACGTCACCAGGGAAACCACGCAAGCCCCACCCCTCACCCATGATTCGGCAGCAAAGTTAATCCCGCGCACAGCGAACCCCAAGGCTCACTCCCCAGCACTCAGCTTTTGACTTTTCGACTTCAAGGAAGTGGAAGAACATCTAGCCCCACCCAGCCCACTACTTCCTCGTTCCCAGAGACTGAAGGCAGCAACAAGATAAACTCTTCCCCTACATCAGCGGAGGTAAAGGGGCTCAGAAGTTTAACAAGCCCCAGGATGACCTCTGGCTAGGTCACTGCCCATCACAGCACAGACGAGGTTCAGGGACTCAGATCCCCCTTCCCAAACGGACAAGGAGCTGCTCCATTCACGTTTTTTACTAAAGCACCCACACAAGTTTCTGTGCAACAGATAAACATGAACCGGTCCTGGGGCTTCGGCCTCCTCTGAGGCAGGGAGACCGGAACCATCTACTGATCCAAGCCCCACCTGTCCCCCCATGCAAAGGCCAACCCCACGACCCCAGGCAGCAACACAGCCCCCACTCTGGTCCCCTCCTGGGGCTGCTCCTCCGAAAGGGGCACGCCAGCTTGCCCTCTACAATATTGAATGAAAAAGGTTTCCCCTCCCCTGGGAGCATGGGGGATTCCCCGGATCTGAGAATTCCCCCTGGAAGAGACACTGCCCCCTAGTCATACCTCCCACCCTTCCAGGCCCTAGGGGACTCAGGGGGAGGGGGAAACTGAGGCACAGAGAGGTGGAGTGACCTAGCCCAAGGTCACTCCGCGAGGCAGTGCAGGGGCTGGCCCAACCCTAACAGTGAGGAGGGCTGGGCTCCAGGGAAAGGGGGAAGAAAGAAGGGTTGACCCCGAGAGGGCCACACTTGAGGGGCCTGCCTAGGCCAGAAGCTCCTCAAAGTAGGTTCTGAAACTTCTAGGTGCAGCTGGCCAGAAAACAGTCTAGTCTCAGTCCTGGAGTTCTCCCACAGAGCAGCTGTCCACCACACTGCAGGTCAGTCCTCTGGCAGGCAACCCTCTATACTAGCAGGGCACTGAGGGCCTCTGTCCATTAGTGTCGGCCCCGAGGGAACCATGAGGGCCGCCCAATGTCCACTGTGATGTTCGTGAAGAGAGGGTGCCGAGACACTTCCAAGACTTGATACCGCACTGACCCAATGCCATCCAGCTTCATGGTCAGCTTCGTGTTTTGAATCTTGGAAAACCTAGAAAGGAAAATGAGTTCAGATCATCCTAACTGCCAAACTCAATCTGGACACTCTACAAGGCTGTCCTGTTTCTCCAGGGACAACTTGACAGGAGCCCTTTGTTCTTATATCTGCCCTCAAAGTGGGGATCTCACCTTCTTTTGGTCAGAAAGCATAACTATGATAGCCTTACAGATCTCACTGTTCACCTTCACCTCAGACCCTGAGATACACAGATAAAATGTATTACTATAGTGTATGCATATGTGGATACACATGCCAGGACATACATGTGGTGGTCAGTGGACAACTCTGTAAAATCAATTCTCTCCTACCTTTAGGTGGGTTCTGGGGATTGAACTCAGGTGCAGGCTTGCATAGCCCAGGACCTTTACCCATTGAGCTGACTTGCTATTCCAACTGATATTTGAGACATCTCATATAAACCTCCAATGCAGTGTTCTGTTCCTCTTCCATTATTAGTCTTTCTCTACCATCCACTCCCTACGTGCAGCCTGCACTCTAACCACCAGGAGGGACACAGCCATCAACAGAACAGGCAAGGTCCTTCCTCACAGCAAGTCTGCTTCACTAAGGAAGACAGTACCAGGCAAAGGAAATATCCACGTGCTAAGGGTACAAGGCGGCTTCCTTGGAAGAAGCTGACATGAGCTGAAGGCAGAGGGAAGAACACTGCACACAGAGGTCAGAGCACATGCCAAGAGGAAAACAGATTAAGACTAGCTTGGTGGTCAGAGCATGTATGAGCAGGGCTCTGAAGTTACAGTAAGCAGTTCATATTCTGAGTGAGAAGACACTGAGGGATTCTTAACTCAGGTTCGTGGGAGGGTAAGGATGGCCTCTGGAAGGGCGAAGCAGGGAAACCCTTTCAGTAGTTCAGGTAAGATCACGGGGGCCAGCCTAAGGTAAAGGTAGGAAAGGGGAAAAGTAGACTGGCTCAAATGCTTTTGGGGTGGCATTAACTGCTGGTGATTTGGACATGTAGGATAAGGGAAAGAATCCTGGAGGACTAAGTTTGAAGCAAAAGGTATTAGAACCACCATCCGGACTTCCTTGGCCTAGAAATTTCAGGCCGTCTAACCATTCCTACACCCAAGTGGACACCTCTAATTGATGACAAGCTATTCCAGCAACAAGACCAAGGCTCCTGGCATGTACCCGCCTATCATCTTTTCCTGCTGCCCATAGTTTTATGTGAACTACTTGCTTTTTCATTGGCTCCCTAGACTGCTGGGGGGCTTCATGCTTCTGCCAAACTACAGCCTGGTGGCAGTACACAATCCACCTCCCCATTCCTACATCCTGAGTTTAAAGTAGAAAAATCCTGGAACACAGCAGGTCCAAAGATCCTTCCCCCAGCACATCCCATCCAGTTTTATGAATTCAGGTCGGGTCAAGGTCCTCCCTAGGTCCACCCAACAGCTAGACCATTCCTTCACCTTCTTTGAACTCAGAAAGTAAGCCTTCTACTGGGCGTGGCAGTGCACCCCTTTAATCCCAGCTCTCAGGAGGTTGAAGTGTGTGTCTAGGAGTTCTAGGCTAACCTAGTCTGCAAAGTGAGTTGCAGGCCAGCCAGGGATGACTACATAGTGAGACCCTGAAGAGGAGGGGGGAGGGAGGAGAGAGGAAGAATAAAGACTTCCAAACATAAATTCTACCATGCCTTTCCTTGTTCAGAGCCCTTCCATGATTCTCAGGCCCCTCTGGGAAAAAATTTAAATTCCCCTGGTACTCAACTACAACACCAGTGCTCCCCACCATCTTTCTCTGCCTTCAGGAGTCTAAAAACCAAACATACCATTTGCTTCAAACTTGTTCCTCCAGGATTCTTTCCCTATCCTTTTACAGTTTCAGGAATGCATACATGTTCATAATCAACTCTCAGAAATATAAATCCCTTTATCCACACTGGCCACCATTAGCCTGCTGAATAAACACTATGCCCACAAGGCAAGTACTGGGTAGATGAGTAGCTCTTAAACCCTGCTCTGCTCCGTCATTCCCTCCTCTGCCAGGACAGCACCAGGCCCTCATCACCTTGTGGCACAACTACCTCCTTACCTAGAGTAAGCCTCATGAGAGACAGCAGGGCAGGGGTTGGGTGTAACTTCCCCTTCCCAAAAGGCTGGACACCACTCAAGCATCTGAAGCCCAGGGAACCCTTGTCTGTATTTTATATACCTTTACGCCTTTCCCAATCAACTACAAATACCTAATATGGCTGTATTGCCTAGGAAGGAGTTGTTTCCTCTCATCTCAAAGAGGTTGGCATTGTCTTGACACTCCTTCCCCACACTCCCTCTACTCAGCAAACCTTTGTTAGGTCTCTAGGGTCTATGGGCAGCACCCACTGCCTATCTGCTCTGACAGAGCCAGTAGAAGCAGGGGTCACCCAAGGTACACAAGTGAGGTCTGTTCTGGTTTTTGTTTGTTTCCTTGTTTTGAGCCAGGGTCTCACTATGTAGCTCTGGCTGGCCTTGAACTCCTGTGTCTGCCTCCACACCCAACTACAAGTGAAGTCTTTGAAAACACTGATGGGAATGTAGTTTATTCAATGACAACACAAGCCAGACTTTAAATTTTGGTCACCCCTAGGAACCAGGCCAGATGGTGGTTGAGGACTAGTGTCAGAGGTGCTAGCTGTCTCCTTTAGCGGCCAGAGGCTCTGGGATCATTTCTAGGAATCAGTAACCTCTGTAGGCATTTTTCAGGGTTCAAGGATGCTCAGGCTACCTTGGTGGTATGTTTGTGTCAGGGGCTGAAGGCGCTTGGGATACTGGGAAGTTACCTCTAGGGAGCAAGGGATCAGGGGCACCAGGGGTCAGGGGTGCTGGGGTCACCTCTGAGGGTTGGGCTCATTATGCTTGTCCCGGTCGTGCTTGATCATGCGGTAACGGCCTATCCGGATGTCTGGGCGTGTGATCTTCATCCCAGTCAGGGAGATCCTAGAGATGGGGACAGACAACTGAACAGGCACCAGGAAGGGCAAGGAGTCCAACCTAGTGTGGACCTCCTTACTCCCCACTCCAGCCTGCTCCCTGCCCCAGCCTGCTCCCCCTCCCAGCCTGCTCCCTGCCCTATCCCTACTCACCGGTTGAAAATGTCATCATCCTCGCCGCCCCAGCCCCAATACTCGTTGGGGAAGCCATTGATCTTCAAAAACTGGGCCTTACTCAGGCCTGACACACCTCCAAAGTAGCTAGCATAGGGCAGCCTATGGCACGGGAAGGCAGGTGTTAGTGGATTCAAGATGAAGATCAGAGATGGGGTAGGAGGAGAATGTGCAACTAGGGTCCAGGGATCTAACTTGCCCACAAGGGTCTGGGCCAGGGGCCAGGAGTTAGTAGGACACAAGCTAGGAGTGGGGCCTGGGTGAAGTGGGCAGGGGGTGAGTCTGAGTCTAGCTAAGAGAATCTTACCGAAAGCCAAACTTGTCCATGGCAATGGCAAAGTGGCGGGGCTGGTCACCACAACGGTACAGATTTCGGTCATCCATGGGAACTAGATCCACATCACTGAAGATGAAGCAGTCATAGGCAGCATCCTCCTTTAGCGCCTCTAAGAAGCCCACATTGAGCAGCTTGGCCCGGTTGAAGGTGTCCTCACCATGCTGTTGGGTGAGTAGACAGACATAGGTCAGCTTTGGGCCCATGACCACCAAGTACCTGCCACTTCACAGAGCATCACCAGGGGCCCACCCTGTTGTCCCCCATCCCCACCAGCTCCCTCAGATTCACAGGGTTAAGTCCAGCTTCTCATCCTAGACCTCCCCTTCAAAGACCTTTCCCAATTGGGTATTGTTGTCAGACTCTTAGGGCCCAACCATATTGCCAACTTCAGCCTCCACAGAACATGTTAGACTTTCTCTCTAGGCATTGAGGTCAGTTATCAGTTTCTCCTGCTTAAAATGCTCTTTAGTGGTCAAACTCATACCTGCAAAGACTGCCTCCTCAACAAACCTCCAGGTCCCAATACAATTTCTCCCTCCTCCTCCAGGCCTCCTTTATACCAGTGTCTATTAAACCACTGTTTAAAGTGCTCATCCCATTCATTCATTCAAACATGCCCTGTGGCCTTCTCCTTTGTGCCAGGAGAGCCTCCCATGTGCCAATGGCGATTCTAGATATGAGCAACGCCAGTCTACATCCCTGCTGACAGTCACGGAGACAAACAATGAATGCCCCAAATGGCCAGTGCCAAGGAAGTAGAAGCTCGTCTGGCTCATTTTGATCCACTTCCAACTTCCTGGGCAGCCTCTGAGACAAGGACAGGACTGGGCTAGATGCACTTGTCTCCCCAACAGACAGACAAGCAAAAGGCTATATAGGTAATCACATCTCTGTGAGCAAGACCTGAAGAAACAGGGCTTCAGAGATCTGGGTCATACAGGCACAAGCAACTCTGGACAGAGAAGCTAGGAACTGGCCCCCACAGCCTCTGCTGCAACCTAGGCCAGAACCTAAAGCTAGAAGTTTCTGCAGCTGGATCTGTCAGTGGACGCTTTACAAGTAGAGGGCCCCTCCTCCACCCAGGGCCATGCCTGAGCCTGATGAGCAGGAATGACTGCCCTCTGGAACAGGGACCTGCCTAGCCCTGTTTGCTCCCTTTCCTCCCTCTCCTGCCCCTTTTCTTCCAGCAGCCCTTGGAAGGACTGCCCATCTGCTCCTGGCTTATTAGCATTCCTTTTGGTCTCTCTCGCCCAGCCAGGAGCCCATACACATACCTAGTTCTCTCCTTGGAGAAAAAAACAAACTTCCCTCCTGCCATCGCCCCTACCTTTCGCCTTCCCTTCTCAGCAGAGATTTTTTTTTTCCTTAAAAAGTTGTCTCCAATTAGTTATTTTGTCAAATCTGATTCCTTCTTCAACCCACCGCAATCTGTTTCCGCCCCCACCACGCCCCTGAAATGGCTCTCGCTGGGCCCACCTTGTTGCTAAATTCACTGGACACATCTTGGTCCACACATCCCTCCTCACTCCGCCTCAGTGCTCACACAGCTGCCATGCTTCCTTCCTGACACTGACTGCTGGACTTCCCAGACATCCCCTCTCCTAGGTCTCCTGATGCCCTCTGGCCCATCTTCTGGGCCTTTGTAGCTGCCTTCCTCTCTTTACCAACCCTTCAGTGCTGGCTCTCCCCTCTCATGTCAGATGATGTGGGTTTTAAGAACCTTCTAGCTGTTGAGATGGCTCAGCAGGTAAAAGCACTTGCTGCATAAGCCTGATGACCTGAATTTGATTCCCAGAACCCAGAGTGGAAGGAGAACCGACTATGGAAAGTTGTCCTCAGACCACATGTGTAGGGGGGCTTAGCACACACCCACCCAAACACATTTGTTATTATTTATTATTTATCTCTACATTAGAGGCTAGTGAGATGGCTCAGTGGGTAAAGCAGTTGCTGCCCAGGCCTGACAACCTGTGTTATCATGAAACACAGAACCCACATAAAGGTGGAAGGAGAAAACCAAATCCGCAAAGTTGCCTTCTGACCTCCACATGTGTGCTTTGGCTTTTGTGCCCCCGCCCCACAAAAAAAAAATTAAAAATAAATCAAGGTGTTGTGGCACATGCCTTTAATTCTAGCACTTGGGAGGCAGAGGCCAGTGGACCTCTGTGAGTTTGAAGCCAACCTGGTCTACACAGCAAGTCCCAGGTCAGCCAGGGCTACATAGTGAGATCCTGTCTGAAATAAATAAATAAAATTAACTTTTAAAAATTAAAAAAAAATAGAACTGTGAACATACTCGTGCTTCCAAATTCCCTTCTCCCTCACAGACCTGTTCCTCCTCTACTTCCCCCAGGATCTCATCATCCCAGGAAGGACAGCATTCAGTCACTCTCCTACAGTAGAGTCTAGCTCCTAAGTTCTCATCCCATTCCCAGGTGTGGCCATGAATACAGCAAACAACCAAGACTAAAACCTTTGCTTTGTTTTGACATCTCTTCTCTCTACTTTACTATGACAGGATGACAGCCCCACCCATGAGCACACTCACCATTTCCTTCCTGGCTACTGGAATCTCTTCCTAACTGGTCGCACTGCCTCTAGCCTTCCCCTTCCTTCCATCCATCCTTAACATGCAATCACAGCAATCTTTCTAAATAGCAACATGCAAGTTATTCCCTTTTCTTTTCTTTTCTTTTTTTCTTTAAATCTTTTTGAGATAGGGTCTCCCTGTAGGGTCATCTGGCCTGAAATTCACCATGTAGACCAGGCTGGCCTTGAACACACAGAGATCCACCTGCCTCTGCCTCCCCAAGTGCTGGAACTAAACGCAAGTGCCACTAAGCCCCCAGCTAAGTTATTCCCTTTTCAAACAATGGTTCCCCACCATCTTCAGCCTGGAATTCAACTGGCAAACATGCCTTCCAAGATCCTTCTTGATCTGGCTCCACCAATTCCTACAGCTCATCTCTGTTATGCAGCCTGTATGTTGAGCTCCACACCTCAGATATGAGGTCCTAAACATAAGAGATCAGGTCTCTTGCTGACCCCTGGTCTTCCAGGTCTCTCTTCCTAGACGGTTTGCTCCTCTGGCTACTGGATATTCGACTCTCACAATTGCAGGACTACTGAACCAGGCCTCTCTGTACTCTCACTGCCTTTACTCCAATTCTAATCATATACCTAGGAGTCCTCAAAGGACAGGGAGGATATACAGCAGATCCTCTCTGAGGTCCAATGCCAGTTCTAGCCTTGGCTTAGATGTTGTACTTAAGGTTTTAGATTTCATGTAGCTTCAGAGTCTAACTCTCTTCTTCAAGCCCCTTGACACTGCCTCCTAGTTTGTGTACCCTAGGCCTCTAACTGCCATGGTAGAGTGGAGACTGCCAAGAGGCTCACCTCCTTCCAAGGCTATGTACACACCCAAGAGAGTACATGCCAACATTCACATGCACATACTTCCCTCCATATACATAACCTTCCTGTGCACACTGACAGACATGTACCCCCACCCCATGACCATACACTCACACTACCAATGGTCAGACAAGGATGCACAGATGTTCCCAAGCCCAGCTAAGTATCAACAGGCACACGATCCCCAAACATCCCTGAGCAAGCACACCCATAGGTGCATGCGAATTCCTCGATGGCTAGTGCCAGGACCACAGCCTACAAACCTGGTTGATGACATAGACACCGTAGCGCAGCCGCTGCCGCCTCAAGATGGGGTGCAGGTAGTGGAGCCAATAGCGTAGGTGATGCTCCCGGTGTCTAAAGGGGATGATGACTGCCACGGTTTGAGCTGGAGTGCAGTCTGGTGGTGTATAGCGGCCACCCAGGAGCACACCTGGGTTCTCCCTCTGCACCCGCTCCAGAGGCATGGGTGAGGTAAACTCGATCAGCAGTCGGCCCACTGCAGGCAGGACAGTGTCAACAGTCAGGGCCTTTGCCAGAATCCAGGGACACCAGCCACCTGGGAGTGGGCAGTAAGAACCCCAGGAATAGCCTGCTTTCAAAAGATCTGACCTTTGATGCCCCCATGGGTCAATACTCCATTTTCCTGAGATCACATTGGTAGAATCCTCTTCCCACTCCTCTTACTAAGCTAAACCCTACTCTAGAGGCTCACCAAGACCAGGCGGCACGTCGGGACAGGGTGGTAGAACTGGAGCCGTGGGGCCAGGCCGGGCACTGGGGACCTCAGGGAGCCCGGAACTGGCGGCAGTGGTGTTGGGCCTTGAGCAGTTGGCGCTACTGCTGGCTGCTGGGTGGAGGGCATGGGCAGGGCTTCGGGCACTGAAGCGGCTGAAGAAGGCCAGGTGCTGGGTGTAGACATCAAAGTAGAGGATGACGGCCACAAGGAAGTGCAGCAGGCAGAGAAGGAGCACAGCCTTGCAGACCCGCTCCAGCGTCCGCCCCAGCAGTCTGCTCATCCCGCAGAAGGCCACTGGCCTGCCCAATGGGCCCCAGCATCTGGCTGCTGGCCTGAGTGGAAGGAAACAGATCCCATAGGTCAGGGCAAAGCAGGTAAAGCTGCCACCTGCCTCCTACCCAGCTGCTCACTCACAGGCCCATATCCTCCCACTTACCTGTTCATACCCCCCTTGATACTTATGGACTTGTATTCTACCTGCAAACATACCCAAACATGCTGGCAACTCAAGAGTCTGCTAATCTCCAGGCACCCCAGCACTAAGCCACATGTATGTCTACATACACGTATACATTCTGATCTACACCCTTATTGCACAACTCTATACATACAACAGCACAGACTGGTGACCTTGATTATACAGGATCATACCTAAGCATGAAAACATACTTACCTACAGGACCCACATGCGCACCTGTGCCCCAGAGGGCACAATCCTCAACCCAGGACATGGTTTGGAGAGGGGAATCACTTACTGAGTGACTATAACACAGGAGCACTTTATACTCATGACTTCACATGGGCTATGGTGGGAAGTTTGGTCATTTAGGTCCCAGCTGCAAGTAGGCCAGGCCAACTGGGACCAGGCTAAGTGGCCCTCAGCCTTGTCAAGGGGGGGTGCAAAATGGGAAGGATGTTTATAGGACTCACAGCTGGATCAAGAGATGAAAGTACCAGTGTGGGGCAAGAGACAGCCCTCACCTAAGACTTCTAGGTGGTTCTAGGGCCTGCTGGGCAGAGCTGGTTCTGAATCCTGGAATGGGGCATGCTTGGGCCAGTTCTTAGTATGGCAGGAAGGGGTCTTGCTTGGGCCATAGCTCCAGTTGTGGTTCCAAAAGGGCAGCAACCACTTGGAGCAGTGCTCCACAGAGCAGGATGCCTCACACATACACAGAATCCATCTTTAGTGCCAGCACTAAATACCCACACTCAAGAGACACAGAGACCTACATAGAGTCGCAGACGCACTCGGGATGACGGTAACATACAAGCCACATGCATCAACAAAGCCGCTGATCCTAGACTTATACATACTTGGCCACACACCGAGACCCACGTGCAAGCATTCCCACCCTCCCTCCGGAACCAGATTCCGGGTCAAGCTAGCCCACCTGGCTGAGGGGCTCGTTAGGGCGGGGCTGGGAGGCTGAACACGTGGCACCCCCGGACCTAGGAGGCAGCAGAGGCCGGGTGGGTGTGGAGCCTGGGGGACGAACGCAGTGGGGAATTTGGATGTGGGGCGGGGGCCCAAGCGCCACTGCGAGCCACGAGGCCCGGGGCGAGTGAGGACAATGAAGGAGGCCAGATGGGGGCGGGCGGATGAGCCCGGAGACCAGCGGGATGGGGGTGGGGTAGGGTGCAGCCCGGCGGGGGCAGCGCTAGCGCCTCGCTCACCGGGTCCTGGGCTGGGATGTGGGGCAACGCACCGGCGGCCCCCTAACGGGGCCGAAATGTCGGGGCGCGCGCCTTCCTCTCACCCGGCGCTTGGGGCTCAGCAGGGGATGCCGCTCCAACGCCGGCAGGCTTCCCGGCTCTGGCAGCTTCGGGTGGTTCCGTCCCCCATGGCCCGGCCCCGCCGCCTCCCACCGCCCGGTCAGCGGCCCCCGCGGCCC